ATACCTATGTATAGGAATAGAACAGACATACCTATGCATAGAAATAGAACAGACATACCTATGCATAGGAATAGAACAGACATACCTATGCATAGGAATAGAACAGACATACCTATGCATAGGAAAAGAACAGACATACCGATGCATAGTGTTGCGCATACCAACAGGACCATAGTCGAAACCCACGACAAAACGAAAGCACAAATCATGATTGCTGAGCTACTCTTGTTTTGTTACTTTGTTGAGTATGTCCAAAACACACATAACATAGCTTATGTTTCTTCCCCATTCAGAGATCTATAGCTTTATATGAGAGTCATTGTTGCTAGAATGAACCCCACTCCAGCACTTCCAGGTTGCAGCTGTCCGGGCGACCGTCCAGCACCCGTTACCATGGACGATGTCATAATGATGATTCGTCCGCCGCGTCAACAATTTGATTTTGAGACATCAAAATAGTAAGTACCGAACATCATAGTTGGTTTTGGCGGGCTGAAGTCAGTGGTGATATCACGAACAAATACTGTCTTTATCCTTGGACATAGGACATAGGCTCTTGTATTTACACACAAAGATAAATATACGTAATGTATAGGTGTACACGCACCCACACCAACACACACACACACATATGTATATATAAATATATATAAAGCATGATATATAGTATATAAACATTGTGTATTTATGTATGTAAATATATATGATTAATAATTAATAGGCTTGAGTATCAAGCAAGGCATCTCGCAATCCACTTGTCGACCACACCAGACAGTCGCCACTATGGGTATGACCAGAGAAGAGTTAATGAGACGGTATCAGTCGGATGCTGCAACAACACTTGGAGACCCGAAGAAGAAGAAGAAGAAGAAGAAAAGTAAAAGTTCCTCTTCCAGACACAGCGGCAGTAAGGTATCCATTCGCTCGAACACTGGTCTGCGGATAATAGACGAGGATGACGACTTGTTTCCCAGTATGCATAAGTAAGTTCTCTACGATTACATGGTCAAATGTTATAGTTATAGCAGAAATTTATATGGTTTAGTTTCAGGCTAACTTAAAGATCTTGAAAGTAAAGCAAGAAGAAAATCTTTGTATTTTAATCGAAGTATCCGTATGTAACAGTAGACATACCTTCTTAGCACGTAGATATACGTTTTGTCTTCTTTTGCTAGAACATGAATTGGCTTTTTATATCCTCTCTGATACATTTACTTGTATATCCCTACATATCTTGAAACAAAGTTCACATATGTGTTAGTGGCTTCACAAAATCTTAGATAGTACTTGATATTTTGATACCGACATGTGTGAACATGTGGTAGCTACTAGTTAACCATCAGTTTGTATATACTCCTGCCAATAGATATATATCTACATTACTTCAATTGTTTGTTTGTTTTTATTAGCATTAGAAAAAGCTATGAGACAATGATCAATTT